GTGTAACATAACATGCTCGAAGACTCGAGGAAACTGGTTTAGGAACAATATATCGTGTAACATAACATGATTGAAGACTCGTGGAAAAGCTTAGGAACAATATATTGTGTAACATAACTTGATTGAAGACTTGTGAAAACATGTTTAGAAACAGTATATGGTGTATAATAGTTGATGTATAATAGTTTAGGAGTAGTTGGTGGTGTAACACAACATGTTTAGAAACAGTAGATGGTGTAACATAACATGTTTAGAAATAGTTGATGATGTAACATAACATGTTTAGAAACAGTAGGTGGTGTAACATAACGTTTAGAAACAGTAGATGGTGTAACATAACATGTTTAGATACAGTAGATGGTGTAACATAACATGTTTAGATACAGTAGATGGTGTAACATAACATGTTTAGAAACAGTAGATGGTGTAACATAACATGTTTAGAAACAGTAGATGGTGTAACATAACATGTTTAGAAACAGTAGCTGGTGTAGCATAGCATGTTTAGAAACAGTAGATGGTGTAACATATGGGTGAAGAAGCATGTTTAACATAACATGTTTAGAAACAGTAGATGGTGTAACATACGGGTGAAGAAGCATGTGTAACATAACATGTTTAGAAACAGTACATGGTGTAACATATGGGTGAAGAAGCATGTTTACTTGCTTTGGACTGTATGACATCCTGCCAAGTAGGGCATGGAAGAGTGAAGTGTTCTGAACCTCTGAGCTAAAGAATTTTCCCACCTGTTTTTGTTAACTACCTTTCTAACGGAGTAAAAATGACAAATTATAGTAATTGGCATAGGTTGAATATACTGTTCGATAGATTTATTTCAGATGTCTTCAATAATAAACTAAACATACTGTAATTTTCTTCTGCCACTGTATGAATGATTTCATTTTCTCTGGGGATGGGGATGTTCTTCAGTTTCATGTCAGGGGAGGTTCACAGTGATAGCTGGTAATTTATCATAAAATTTAAGGACAACAAGGGGCATGTTGATCTATCTAGGCCATCCTATCCATTAAACTAAACTTTGAAATAAGAGTATAATGCTTAAAGCTAGCTTTTATCATTCAAATATTTATCAAGCCTTCCCTGAACTTTACTGCACTGACTATGTCTGAAGGCAACCCATTCTCTAGGCCTACAACCCTATTAAAAAATTAAATTGTCTTAGCACAAGATGACTCCTACCCTGCCAAAATTTGTTTGTGTCCCATTGTCCTTTTATTCTCACTGTTAAGTATGAAAAAAGATGATACATCAACACTATCAATTGTTTTTACAATCTTAAAAACCTCAATCAAATCTCTTCTAATTTCAAGAAAAAACAATTTAATAGATCTTATGACAATCTTCCATCCCAAGTGTCATCGTAGTGTCCCTTCACTGCACACTTTCCAACATTTCAGTGTCCTTCCTAAGGTAACGAGCCCAAGACTGAACTCAGTACTGCAAATGTGACCTAACCAGTGACATATATACAAGGAATTACTGAATATTAAATGTGATGAATTTGAGTTTTTATGCATTATTTTTTGTTTTTAGGTACGTACTCTAGTGTTTAGTTATACAAGTGCTTTAAAAATTTTAATTCAGCATATCTATTAACTGAAATGTTAATCTTTAAATAAACAGTTTCAGTGTATTGGAGAACATCAGAATTAAAGTTTTATTTGGAATTGTAGGCAGGTCAAATGTATTTAACATTATTATTTAAATAGGGTTTTTTTCCACCTGAACATATCTTGTGCAATTTTTAGGAAAAGATTCGGCAAGTTTTTGACAATCTTACCCAGTTAGAACATCCAAACATTGTCAAGTTTCACAAGTACTGGATGGATACAGATTCTGAAAATCCCCGGGTAATATTTATCTCAGAATACATGTCAAGCGGCTCATTAAAACAGTTTCTGAAGAAGACAAAACGAAACGTCAAAAAGTTCTCTCTGAAGGTAAGTTATTTTATTGCATTAATATAAACACACCTCTTACTTGTTTAGATATTTATGGAGTAATGTATATGTACACACATATGTACATCAAGCATTTCTTCATCATTATATTACCTTTAATTTTTCTCATCCTTTATCTTGCACTTAGGGGAATAAAAGTCTCTAACTTGTGAAATATTAAAGGGTAGTTAAGTTTTTCATAGAGGAAATGGAGACTTATTGTGCATTTAAAGTTTTAGGATAGAACATTAGTGAATTATATAGGTAATCAAACCACCTACAAATCACTGGTCAAATGAGCTAGTGAAGAAAAAGTTAAGTATTTAAAGCAGTTGGAAAATATTTGTACAAATATGAAAAAGCTTGGATAGCTTTGTTTTCAGAGACTTGAAATTAGGAGATTACATGTCATCTGCTTTATTCAGACTGTAACTATATTAGGAACTCTTTGCTGTGTGATGAATTTTTACACTAATTTTTAAATGCAAAATTTATAACACAAATGTTTTTTTGCAATTATTGCCTTTTTAATCAGTATTTGATGTCTTTAATAACCTCTTTTACCATTTAAACATAGAAATTAAAATATAATGATCTGTTTAATACTTTTGGAATTTAACAAATCATTGCTACGTTTTTAAGAAGTTAAAAACTTCTGTTCTGACTAGTAGTGGTTTAACTTTCCTTTTAGGTAAAGTTAGTCACTAAACTGTATAACAGTGTGTGTTTGAAAGTTTTATTAAAATGTGTATCTTTGGCTTTACTTAATTTGCAAGAAAGTATCTACATCCTTTTTTTGTTATTTAATAAGAATTAAGAACTGCATTCAAATAAATAAGTTTACAGGGATGAGAATTGGCTTCCAATTTGCAGATTTTCACCATTTCTGTTGTCATATTTGTCGTCCACCCAGTCTGTTCAAATCCATTGAGAAAATTGTTGGAGGGGAGGAGTTTGGGTGGGGTTCCTGAGGCAGGCAACAAAATACTAGTATAGGCCAAAACTGGATTTCCTGCTTTTATATATGTTTATGGCTAAATGAAGTCATTATGTGTGGTTCGTTTTAACAGGCTGATTGATGGAAAGCCAAACAGTCACAAAATTTTAAACCGAAGGTTTCTTATTTCCTCAGAAATGCATGAACTAGCTAAAGTGCAATGGCAGATGATCATAAATGATCAGCATAGAGCTAAGCTTTACATCTTTGGTGTTGTACGTTAATGGTATACACTTTACAACAATTTGTTTAGAATTGCATAGAATATACTTTTTTTCTCTCATCAGTTGCAAATGAAAGCATCTTACTAACATACTAAATGTCACAGACTCTAAACTTTTCTGTCTCATATATAAATTATATATTATACACAGGAGGGTGAAATTGTGGGATTGGACAAGTAAGAAATCATAAGTGAAAAAAACAATGTAGAAGGATATACAGAGGTTCATAAATAATCATCCACAATATTCCATATCTGCCATTTTAAAAGACTCAGTTTGTAAATGATTGCTCAGTATCTTGTCCTAATGAAAACTTATTTTTATAAGTATTGCCTCAATATTTTATAAATTCATCAGTTTGTACTGACTGGTTTAATCATTGCAATTTCATGACATGACCAGTTTATATATTAACTGGTTTTGAAATTTAATCATTGGATCTTGAGTTAATGTGGTAAAAGTCCAAAGTTCAGTGATCATCCTAGCAGTAAATAATGTGAATATTTAATGGCCCAAAATGCATCAGAAAGTATGTAAACCTTGACCGTTACAGTTTGTGACCAAAGTTTCATTTTGCTGTTCTCATCCCTGAGTACAGTTTCTTGTTCCATGTTAGTAAAGTATCCTTTTTTATGATTATTTTCTTACACTTAGCAGACTATTTAAGAACAAAATTATATTACATCTTACTGTACTCTGGAATTCAAGTATACATTTGTTTATTCTGGGATTTTAGATATTTTTACAACTTAAAGAAATACTTAATACTATGTACTGAGAAAATTTAAAACCTTCTAGAGGCTTTGTCAGTCATCTATAAAAACAACATAAAAGTTACGGAAACTTAGAACCATTAACATGGGTTGGTAAAATAACCACCAAAATGAATGGAGAGTTTAATTAGACACTTTCATAAAATGGTCCAAAACATTTATGGTAAATGTTCTTTGGGGAGGATGGGCACTTGTTCTTCATATACCTACATTAATCTAAGTTACTTGTATTCAACAATAAAAGTGTAAATAATCTCTCTATATTACCATCTGAATTTAGGAGCCATTACAATTTTCTTCATTTTCGTGAGCATACAAAATGTCCACGATGACATCCTAATCCTCCATCAGAAAACATAAAATGGTGAAAAATTGTTTTTATACATATGTTATTGGACTTTAATCATTATAAATGAGGTGTTGGGAAACAGAGTAGATGTGTTTACGTCTGTAAAAGATGTTTAAATTGCTGCTAGTAAATACTTTTGCAATGATTTATTGATAACAGATGGTGTTCTTTCAACACAAGCTCCTATCTCTGGTGTCCATTTTGTACACCCATGAAAATGGCAAAAATTATGAATGACTCCTGAGATTGCAACATCAACTCTTGTGTGTTTGACAGACATAGATAAACATGATATAAATGGAGTCGCGTATTAGTTTATGGGAAAATAAATAAAACTACTAATTAAGTTATTTGCCCGCAAAGAATAATTGCATACACAAAAGTTTCTGTAAAGTATGTAACAAGGAGATAAAAATTGAAAAACTGCATAAATAAAATCCTTCAGTTTTGTTTGTATGCATTCAGTTAACCAGTGTTAAAAAGATATTTTAGATTTAAACCCTGAGGTATTTCATCTTCATAAATATATTAATTATAGTGATTATTGTTAAATAATGCAGCAAAAATGTTAGTTATATCATAAAAATGTTTTTTGAAACAAAGACAGCTGTTTGTAGAAATTGACTAAATTCCACTAATAATTTCAGAAATTGAATTTCACTTATATGGTGATAAAATACATGAAAAAAAGGTTCAAATGATTATTTACAAATGAAAAATATACAAGTTTTTAAGATAAAACTGACTTTTTTTTAGAGATGAATAATTGTATATATATCTTTTTTTTTTTTATAATTGCAAAAGTCTAATAATCAAATTCTGTTGACAAAAAAATATGGAAAACTACATTTTTTATAAAAAGTTTAATATTTTTGTTTGGGGAATAGCATACACCAGTACTTAATAATTACACAGAAATAAGGTTACCTTACTGTTAATGCCATCATGGCTAGGTAATTTTCACTGTGTTTTGTTTCTAGGCTTGGAAACGGTGGTGTACTCAGATTTTGTCCGCACTCAGGTGAGACAAGACAGGAGTATTCTTTGATATGTATCAATCTCATTGCACCACTTTCAGTCTATTGTTTTTTTATGCGAGATATATTTCATCAAACAATTTATGTCTTTTGAACAAATTATACCTGTACCATTTGCCAAAGGTTGCCTTTTAAAAAGCTATACATGAAAATATAACGATACAAATGATACCATGTGGATTTCACATGCAATTTTTTTTGTTTTTTTAAAGAAATAAAATTGATCTAAGTTTATTAAATTTCACCACTGCCAAAGAATAACAATAGGACACAAAGAACAAACATGAACAAAACATAAACACTGTTTAACAGAAGAACTTACCACTTACCTTTAATAAGTTGACTTACACTAGATATGTGAACAATATACTACCACTTACCATTAATAAGTTGATTTACACTAGATATGTGTACAATATACTACCACTTACCATTAATACAGTATCACTTAATAAGTTACTGCTGATTAAATACCTTACTTGAACAATAAGGTATCAGTTTCTTCTAACCATTCACTGTAGGATAAATTAAAATAGTTCAACCAATCAGTTAATTCTACTGTAGATTAGGGCTAGATATCTTACCTGAACAATAAAGGGTTATTTACTTGCTCTTAAATAATGTTTAGAAAAACACAATGAATCTTGGCAGAACAATGCAGTTACTTTTAACTCTTCACTGTAGATATAAATATAGAAATCTTTACTGAACAATAGTAACAATTATCCTATTCTTGTTGAACTATTTAACAGTTTAGAAAGTCATAAATATTTATACAAAATTTACTGTGGTTCACATAATACAAAACATTGCAGCTTTAGCCACAGGCAGAATGAGTACAGATAAAAAAATATGGTGAGCATTAAGTTGGAGAATGGACCAATCAATTGAACTGACATACACCAAAGCATTATCATATACAGAATATATGTTGAACAACTTACGCTGGACTAACAAGATTTATATGTATTTTTATTTCATGTTTTTTAGATATGTGAACAATATACTACCACTTACCATTAATAAGTTGACTTACACTAGATATGTGTACAATATACTACCACTTACCCTTAATAAGTTGACTTACACTAGATATGTGTACAATATACACTTACCCTTAATAAGTTGACTTACACTAGATATGTGTACAATATACTACCACTTACCTTTAATAAGTTGACTTACACTAGATATGTGTACAATATACTACCACTTACCCTTAATAAGTTGACTTACACTAGATATGTGTACAATATACAGTGTAAGTCAACTTATTAAAGGTAAGTGGTAGTATATTGTACACATATCTAGTGTAAGTCAACTTATTAAAGGTAAGTGGTAGTATATTGTTCACGTATCTAGTGTAAGTCAAGTTATTAAGGGTAAGTGGTAGTATATTGTTCACGTATCTAGTGTAAGTCAATTTATTAATGGTAAGTGGTAGTATATTGTACACATATCTAGTGTAAGTCAACTTATTAAAGGTAAGTGGTAGTATATTGTTCACATATCTAGTGTAAGTCAACTTATTAAAGGTAAGTGGTAGTATATTGCTCACATATCTAGTGTAAGTCAACTTATTAAAGGTAAGTGGTAGTATATTGTTCACATATCTAGTGTAACTCAACATATTAAGGGTAAGTGGTAGTATATTGTTCACATATCTAGTGTAAGTCAACTTATTAAAGGTAAGTGGTAGTATATTGTTCACATATCTAGTGTAAGTCAACTTATTAAAGGTAAGTGGTAGTATATTGCTCACATATCTAGTGTAAGTCAATTTATTAAGTGATACTGT